GTCACAGCTGACTGATGGTCTACACACGAGTGCACAAGCACAGCTGAGTCAGCTAATGTTCTACACACGAGTGTATGGGCACAGCTGACTGATGGTTCACCCATGAGTGCACAGTGCCAGCTGATATAGACCGAATGTATACAATCTAGTTACGTGACATATCTGGCTTATCCTGGCTATTTATCTATTTATCTCAACTGTACTGAATGTAAGTATAGAAGCTGTGTGTTAAACAGTGAAAATCTGGATATTCTGAAGCTTGTTCAGAACACGCACTTATCTGGTGAGCATTCATTCCCTAGGATTCTCCTTTACCCCTATTTGACTTTACTTCTTCTGAGTGTAACTACAGTGCCCATTTGAGATCAGAATTTTATCATGAGCATTTGAAAATACTTAGCTGGATGGTCAGTATGTTGAAAAAATGAAACTGTTCAGTGAAAGTCCACCTAAAAGAGTGGTAATACAATGCACGTTTATAAAGCCCACCTTTACCCTGCTGCCCATACCATGCTGGGGCTAGATATTCCATCAGGCCTATTTCTGAGCAGCTGTCTATGGGAGTACCAGGCACTTATAAAGCAGTTGTCTTTTGGTTGTAGTGAATGTTTTATCTAATTTATCCCAATGACTTTTATAAAAAACCTACTTAAGACAGGCTTTACGCTAGGTGGTAAGAATGTAAATCCAAGAATATAGAACTCCGGACACAAGACACATACCAACTAGTCAGCACAGAGGTTAGCGTATGAGTCAAGTGCTGTGTAAGTAGTTCAGCAGAGGACACATGGGGGCTTCTATTATTATTATTTTTAATGACATTATTAAGGAGAAGACAGGTTCTCTGGAACCCCGATTTTAAAAACCACTAACTTCGGTTTCAATGACATTTGTCTTTAACAATTGTCTTACAAACCTTTAGAAGTAAAATCTCTGGGGAAGGAGTTCTCTACTGCACAGATGCGCAGGAAGGACAGAATAGCTACCAATCCTTTCTGCACAATGAGTTGAGGAGGGAATTCCAGAGGGCAATGTCTTAAGTTCAGGGCTTTCAGTGAACTTACATTCCCTGCAAGGGAGGAAAAACAATCAGTCAGCATTTTACATACTCTTCTATGCACTGGAAACAATGGAGAGGTGATACTGTTTTACATTTTTAAAAAGTCCTACTGAGTATTTTGGGTAAAGTAATGGAAATGTGAGATTTGCTTTAAAAGAATTCCACAGTGGAGACAGACTCTAAAGATTAAGGCCAGTAGTTACAAAAAATCAAGCAAACAAAAGCTGCAATGGCCTTCAGGCAAAAATCAGAACACAAAGTCACTGTATTATCTAAAATGTCGAATTTTCAACAAAAAATTATAAAACACACAGAAAATTAAAACGTAACTTATACTCCTGGCTTTGAACCAGTGTGAAATGATTCAGTCATTTTCAGTTTCTTGTCAACAGAAGGGAGCTCTGGTGGCGTAGTGCCTAAGGCACTTGATGCTAACCAGAAGGCTGGTGGTTCAAACCCACCAGCCACTCCTTGGAAGGAAGGT